GAGATGGCATAAAAGATATGACCAAGGACATGTGTAACTGGAAAATGAGCTGGGCTAGTTACATAGTGAGAATGAAAAGTAACATATAAACATCCTGAGTGGTGTTCAGGTACCTAGGAAATACTCTTAAAATCCAGAGGAAGGCTTGTAAAAGATTAGATGATTTATAGAAATACATCAATAAGAAGAGGAAAAAGCAAGGATAGAAGAGGGGACTGGGGAGGGGGGCACAACACCCATGCAATATGATCTGATCTTTTGAAGCATTTATGTATAAATGAGTACTTATGAATAAAATGAGATAAGAAAAAATTACATTTTGCAATAATCATTCTTTACATAATATTCTTCAATACTTCAAGAATAATAATTGACATTCATATGGCCTTTTAAAGCTTACAAATCACTTTATTCACATTATCTCATAAAAACCCTTAGGTAGATCGGTATGTATTATGCCCATTTTATAGATGAGAAAATAGTGTTCAGTTTTAGGATTTCGTTTTTCAAATTATGTAATGGAGTTTTCCCCATATCATAGGCTTAAACATTTGATGTCGAGCATGTTTTGAATGTACAGTTTTTTATTTTTGGGAGAAAGTATGTATGCAAATTTGGCATTCAAATAAAGGTTACCACCCACTGAAATTGTTCTGACCCATGATATCCTATTTTGTATTGAAAAAGTTTTTTACCTTTTTATATTTCACTGAAGGAGGCTATGTAGAAGACCTGGGCTCAAATTCCCCCTTTGACACATATCATCTGGGACCCTGGGCAAGTGACTTAACCTCTCAGTACTCTGGGCTCCTTTCTGGAACTCTAAATGGCAGAGAAAGTGCTGGCTCACATAGGTAGAGAGAATTTCCATACCTGAGAGGTCTCTATGCCAGTGAAATCACAGGTATGGCTCATATAATTGTCCACTTGATTGTGGGGTAAAAAGAATGGTTTCATTGGTGCTCCATTGGTTCAAGTCTGCCCAACCTTGAAGTAGCTCATCCAGGTTGCCAGAATCTTGGAGAGCGTGTTCCAGTCTACATAGGAGTAGAGGGCATTTTCTCATTGGGAGTTCCTCATATCAAGAAACTATGAAAATGCATGCTGTGTCTGACATCTCAAATCCTGATTTGGTTCAGTCTGACTTAATGTCTCTGTGTCTGCATATCTTTTTATATCCTTTGAGGAGGCAGCAGCTTTTTAATTTTTTCCCTTTCTACTTGTGTGTTTGTGCTATCTCCCTCATTAAACTGTAAATGTATTGAGGGCAGAGACCATAGCTGTTCCATTTGTGTTCACCCCCCCCCCCTCACCTTCCCATTGCAGTTCAACTAACTGACATATGGAGGAAAAATGATTGGGCTCAATTATGGAGGGAGTGAGATGTTGACCTTTCTCGACTAATGAATTATTACTCATAATTATGAAAACATCTCTGTATTATGGGGACACTGAGAAGCAATAACAGTGACTCAGAAGCCTGTGGAGGGGAAATGGTTGGATTTCTAACTGAGAACAAAGGAAAGACATTCATTACTTCTTGATCCTGATGAGTGCCTCTCAGCTTAGTTCAGCCAATGGTAGGGGACTAGAGCAGGCCTACTTGAGAGGTCAGGTCAGAGTGGGGAAGCAGCCTTGGAGAGTAAAGAAGTCATGTTCAGTAGATTTGGGTTGGCCTGGCTAAGTAGACTGCCATTTTCTGAGTGTGGATGAAAGAGATAGGAGAGGGTCAAGGGCTAATTGTGACCAAAGAGCTGACTTGTGGAACCTATGTCATGGTACTAGCCATAACAGAGCATGAGGCAAGGTGAAAAGGATAACAACTTCTTTAAGGGACTGGATCATGAATAGAGAGCAAGAAAGAGGGAAGAGGCAGGAGAGAGCAAGGATTTAATGTTTGTAGAGGTACATGGGAGACCTAGATAGAAAAGTACTCTTTCTCTATAGGAGGTTAGCCTCAGAATAGGCTTTCCCCCATTGGATTAAAGGTAACTTATCTCAAAATGAGAGTCTCTGCCTAGACTTCAGATTCCTGCATGTCATTTTGAGGGCTAGGGAAGCAGATTCTGGAAGGCAGCTTTGACATCCATCCCACCTTCATTGAACAGGAAGCAGCTTTATGGCAATGGAAATATTGGTTCTGGAATCAGTGGACCTAGGTTTAAATCTCAGTTCGGTGACTTTGAATACATCACTCTGGGCCTCATTTTCATCATCTATAAAATGGGAGAGTAGGACTAGGTGGCTTGTAAAGTTCTTTTCCAGCAGCTAGGTGGTAGTGTGCTGGGCCTGGAATCAGGAAGACTTGAGTTCAAATCTGGCCTCAGGCACTTACTAGCTGTGTGACCCTGGGCAAGTGACTTAAGCCTGTTTACCTCATTTCCTCATCTGTAAAATGAGCTGGAGAAGGAAATGGCAAACCACTCCAGTGTCCTTGCCAAGAAAACCCCAAATGGGTTAGGAAGCATCAGACATGACTGGAACAACTGAACAACAACAACAGAGATTCTCCCTCATTTAAGCTGAGTTTTGACAACCATTTTGTAGTTATGTTGCAATAGGAATTTGAGGATTAGACTATATAGTCTCTGAGGTAACTTTTAGCTCTGAAATTTTGTGATTCTGTGAATCACTACAATCCTGTGAGATGAGGAAACTGAAATTCCAATAGTTTAAGCATGTCCTCCTAGTCACACAGCCAGCAAGTATTGGAGGTGGGATTCCACCACAAAGAATTTGCTGAGAAAACTTTTAGAAAGCATGTAAATATCATAAGACTTTTTTGTAAACTGTGCATTATTATTCCAACTCCTTTCTTTGTTGTCTGTTCTCTTGCTATGTTTCATAACAAATCTGTAATTATCTGCTAGGTTGAGAACTATTATTAAGCAGTAGAGGAATGGATAAAGGAAACCCTAGCATCTACTTTCCAGCTCCAGGAGGAGCCTTGGTGTGCAGGACATCTTAGTAAATAGAGAGTAAGTGGTTATGGATAGAAATCTGAAGGGGGCACTGCGAGCACTGCACACAGTGGAGTGATCAGGTACTAGAGGTCTCATGAGCCCTGTGGTACCACATAAGTATCCCTTAAGAAAGCAAAAAACATCTACTTCTATATGAAAAAAATTGTGACGTTTTTACAGCACGGTTTGAACTGGAAGAAGTAATCTTATGCTGATGCACCCATATATGAACCTGTCTGCATCAGTTTATGGCTTAGAATTTAAAATTCTGATAATCGTCTATTGTGCAAAAGATAAACACATTTATTTTTATGGCCACCACTTCTCCCTCCTCATTTAATTCTACTTCTGTAACATGCTTCCAAACCTATTTTGAGCCTTCTGCATAATTACTCCAAGTAAGTGATATTTTAAACTCTATTCACACTTGGCCTGGCCCTTCCAGTACACCACTCATCGCCTGGGTTAGAGTTGGGAAAGGAACGATTGACGTAGATTGAATACGGGAAATGAAATCAGAACAATCACTTTAAAAACTGTTGGCTAAGGATCATTCAGTGGAGATGCAGACATTTCTAAATTGAATGATTCTGTGTTATGGCTACCTAAAAGATTGCTATAAAAAGCAGGGATCTCAATGTTTTATTGGCCTGAGCCAGAATCTGAATAAAGTATTTATGCCCTAGGAAAATAATGATGGAAAATGACTGCTGTGCTGCATTTTCTCACTGTCAGAGAATGATAGTGTTCCAGCTGGAAGGGACCTTTGGAGACTTCCAGATAAATTCCTTCATCTTTTAGTTGGGGAAACTGAGGCCCAGGGAAGTGAAGTCACCTACCTGAGGTCATTCAGGTAGTGAATGGCAGAGGTAGCATTTGAACCCAGCTCTTTGGATTCCAAAATTAACATGCTTTTTCTACTGAGCTATGCTGCCAGCAAAAAAGTAAAGGGAGAGTAGGAGAAGTCCTCTGCACACCCCAATAATTAAATGTCTAGATATGCTAAGTACTTAGGATCAGCATGGGGGAAAGGCTGTCATCTCTCCCCTAACTTGTGAACTTCATCAAGACTTTGTCTGAGCCACCTCCCCCACTCCTAAACCCTTAATTTTTATTTTGAGGGTGTGGGGTTCACCCAGAATAAAAAGAAAAAGGTCCATGGAGCAGACACCCTTCTCTGGAACACTTGGGATTGCTCTGTGCACTAGGCAGCCTGTCAAACTTGTGGGAGGCATCAGGTCATTGGCATGTAGGTGGTCTGCTGCCATAAGCCCTCACTGCATCCCTCTGTTGGACTCTAGGGGAAGGAACAGAGAGTCTTCTGTCTGTCCTTCACCACAGGCTCTGAGGCCCACTAAGGAAATGTTTTTCTTCTTTGAAGCTCTCCACAATTTGAAGTGGATTGGCAGTGTGAGCCTTAGTTTTAATTCCATAGACTATGTAATTCTAGATGGCAGGGAATGTTTCTTTTTGTCTCTGAATGTCTGGTGCCTAGCACAATGCCCAACACAGAGCAGGAACTTTATCCATGCCAGCCGGTTGATTTTTGTTGAGTTTGATTTGAACTTTGTTTCCATTGAAAAAAGTGGATGAATTTATGCAAAAGTTTTACTAGTATTTACCCAGTAATGTTGACCATTGCTTTGTGTCCCTTACTCCCAGAGAATATTTGGAATTTGGAAAACTCTAATTTAGAGGGATCATGTTTAGCTATCTTTGAACATTGACAAGGTGGGTATAAGACAGGTGCATTAGACTTGTTATGCATGACCCGAGAGGGCAGAATTAGGAGTAACAGGAAGTGCAGGGTTACCAATTTGGGTTCAACATAAGAAAAAAGTTTGTCATAACTGGAGGTGTCCAAAAATGGAATGGGTAGATTCAGGAGCTAGTGGTCTCCCTATCACTGGATTTCTGAAAATTTATTTTGAATGACAACTTGTTTGGAAATGCCATTAAGGGGATTTCTATGGAGGCACAAATTGAACTCTATATAATCTGAGAGGCCTCTTTCAACTCAGATTTTGTGATTCATAGGTATTCTGATCATTGATATCTTGGGAAAATTTCCAGACAAGTCCTGCTAGAGGCCCCAGACAGGTAAGTGTATACAACATCATAATGCATCTAGTTGCTTTGAGAATTATCATATTCCAGCTAAACATATGAGGGAGACTTGTGAAATACCAGCACTCTAAACAAAGTAGCAATATGATATTTACAAAGTTATTCCTAGTGTTTAGTTTAAATAACTGTAACAGAAACAGCATTGTAAAGAGAAACTTTGAAAGTCTCAAGAACTTTGATCAATGGTATTGATCAACAATGATCCCAGAGGACCAGTGATGAATTATTCTACCTCCCCCTGGACACAAACGTGATAGACTCAAGGTACAGAATAAGACATATCATCTGGACGTGGGCAATGTGAGAATTTATTTTGCTTGACTGTGCATATTTGTTACAGTGGTTTTATTTTTCTTTCTTTTTTCCTAATAAGGAGGAGGTTAGGTGGGAGAGAAAATAGATTTTTGTTAAATGATCAAATGAGATAACATATACAAAGTGCTTTGCAAACACTATCATCATCAATAATAATAACAGAATAACTTAAATTTAATTTTAAAAACTTAAGTGCTTGTTGTTGTTGTTCATCCTTATTTTTTTTTGTGAGACAATGGGTGAAATGACTTGCCCAGGGTTATACAAGTCGTAAGTGTCAAGTTTCTGAGGCCAGATTTGAACTCAGATCTTCCTGAATTCGGGGGCGGTGCTCTATCCTCATCCTTCATTTTCGAAGAAGACAAAGACATCATGATGTTGAGATAAAATAGTAGATGATGAATGAATTGTGCATGAATTAGATTTCAGTGAGGCAGAGTTGTGCAAAGTTGTCAGCTTCAGTCTCTCTTCCAGTGTCATCAAAGTCCAGTGGCAGGACAAAAGTCAAGATGACTGGTGATGGCCTGTGATGCAGTGAATGACCTTGGCGTCTTCAAAGTCTGACCTTACTTAAAAATTTAAGTGCTTACTTGAAGCCAAAAGACCTTAGAGGAACAAATGGCCCCTAGCCCAGCAATTTTGCATCAGTAGAAACCAGGAAACTAACACAGAATGCCTTTAGCTAGGCATTGACTCCTCCCTCCCATAATAGTGAGGCTCCCTGTCTCCTGAAGCCAAAGTCTTGTTGACTTTGGCCCTGCCCTCTGGCTTTGCCCTTCATTCTGCATTGGCTAGTTAGGATATGGTTATCTAGTTAAAAGACAGCATAAAATTCAGCTGTAAACAGCTTGACTGAAAAAAAAAACCAAAATAATGTTTATTGGCCATTAGACCTGACACCACTCTCTGAGACCATCTGCAGCTGTCAGACTTTGTTTTCCAGAAGCAGATTTACAGGAGGAATGAGTAAGCCTATATGTACAGGGATTTCATCAGGTAGATGGAGTCTCTTGAGATCACTTGGTTAAAAAACAATCATTCAGCAGTCGCAAACATCTTAAGGCCTCTTATGCTAAGAGCACAGAAAACAATTTACTGTATGGCTGAAGCTCTAGGCTTTCAATTGCACAAAGGAGAGATTTACATCAGTATCTCCACATATTCCCTTTCAGTTTTGAATAAAGCCATATTGAACTTTTCTGGTCCAAGGCCAATAATTTGGTAGGATTTATTCTTAGGGAAATAAGTGTCTTGCAGAGACGTTAATGCATTCTGCAAATACGTGTCTACTTGAATCTAACCTCATTTGGGTCTTCTGTGCTACACACACACACACACACACACACACACACACACACACACGTCACCACCACCTCCACCATTGGCAATAACAACCCCAACACTTATCTCTAGCCACCTCCCTATTCACCTCCCATAAATGACATACCTTCTCCTTTCTCTCCAAGTTTCTAGTAATTCTAGATGGCAGGGCATGTTTTCTTTTTGTCTCTGAATGTCTGGTGCGTAGCACAATGCCCAACACTTCAGTATTTCTTTTCTCATGAGCTTTCAATTTTACTTAGAAAATTGTAGTTGTTTTTCATTAGCTTCATCATCTCTGTCCTATGCCTCAAAATCTCTTTATGTCATAGTATCATAAATTTCAAGATAGAAGGAACTCTGAAGATTCTTTAATCCAGTCCCATAATTTTATAGATGGGAAATTGAGGACCAGCAAGGTTAAATGTCTTATTTGTTGCAATATAGGTGAGAAGAAGCAAAAATAGAATTTGAACCCAACACACCTAACTCCAAATCAGAGACTATACAGCATAGAGATGGAGATCTGGTCTTGGAGCCAAGTAAACCTGTGTTCAAATCCTTCTGAAATAAATTGGCTACATTATGCTGGACAAGCCATTTAGCCGCACAGAAAGCTTTGGGCAGCCTTCCAACCTACATTAATAGAGGGAATTTCCTCCTCAGGGAGTTCTGCATGTGGCAAGGGCTATCTCCCACATGTGGAATGGGGTCTTTGTGTGGCTCAAAGGGAGGCAGAATAGACATCTCTAGCCTCCTTTCCCCCTACCTTTCTCAAAGGGAGACTTTAACTCCTGCTAGGAGGGGAAGAGGTAGGTTGGGGCCAGAGGCCACCATCCTGTTCTCCTCAGAGAAAGGGCTAGACTTATATCTATCTGTTTCTTTAAATTATATTAATCTAGGAGATGTGATTTTAAGGTTCAGTCTAACTTCTGATTGCTACTTCATAAATAGAAGAAGCAGGAGGACCCCAAGCTCATATTCAAGGCTTTACTCCCTTCCCACCAAATACGAATTCTATAAGTCCAAAATATGGACTTATCCAAATTGGTAACAAAATAGAAATTAGAGAAAGTAATACGTGGGAAAATACTTACAAGAGAATACAGGGTGAAGGAGTTCTGCCATTTGGGATCATGGTTATTCAGAGAGAGAGAGAGAGAGAGAGAGAGAGAGAGAGAGAGAGAGAGAGAGAGAGAGAGAGAGAGAGAGAGAGAGTGTTTGGTCTTACACAAGGAGAAGTTTCCAGAGTGTAGTGGAGCAAGTTGGGGATAGGGATGTAATGGAGACTACCAGTTCCTCTCATGTTGGCTTCTTCTCAGAGTCTTTTCCTTCAGCAACCTAACTTGGGGTTGACTTCTTTCATCTTCTCTCTTGAAGCTGGAAGACAGAAGAGCCTGAACTAAATGCCGAACCCTAAGAGACTTGAAGAGACCAAAGATTGTCTCAAGAGGAACTACACTGTCACTAACTCCATCTCAGCCCTCATGTAGACATGAGATATTGATCTCCACCAGTAAGGAGTTTCATACTAATGGGATTTGGGACTGGGGTTACACCTATGTCAATGGGAGAAAAAAATCACAGGACTAGTTGCTAGCTTTATATCATCTGACTCCATGAAATTCAGCCCAAAATTTCTTTAGTATTTTGAGCGCTTTGCTGTGCTGCTGACTCATATTGAGTGTGAAATATTCGTAAAACCCCCAGATCTTTTTTCAAGACTATTGCTGTCTTAACTACGGTTTCCCTATTTTGTCCTTATGAAGTTGATTTTATACACACACACACACACACACACACACACACACACACATATGCGTGTGTGCAACTTTGCATTTATCTCTATTGAATTTCATCAGATAATTTCTAATTTCATTAGATTCAGTCCAATACTTAAGCCTGTGAAGAGTCTTTTGGGACCTATTATTGCCATCCAGGGTCTTAGCTGTGCCTCTTAGCTTTGTGTCATCTATATGTTTGATGAGCATACAACGTATGTTTTTTTTAAATAATTTTAAAAATTGTTAAACAGCATAGATTCCTGGGAGGCTCCACTAGAGACCTCTTGGCACAAAAGAATTAGTTTTTTTATGAAGTGTCTCATGCTATTCTTGTAGAAAAGATGGAGAGATATGGATTAGGATACAATTGGATTTACTGGTTGGCTGGCTGGACTCAAAGAATAATTTTTAATGGTCACTCCGGTAGGAGGTCTCCAGTGAAGTACCTTAGAGATCTTTTGATTCTACCTCTAAGCTGTATTATATATCTGTCCCCTCCATCACTCACATTACTGCTTTGGTTTAGACCCTTGTGACCTCTCACTTGGATTATTATAATACTTCCAAACTAGTCTTCCTGTCTCTCTTTTTCTTCTCCAGTATATCCTTCACACAGTTGTCTACCTAATCTTTCAGAATCCACAGAAATGACCATATCACTTCTTTGTTCTAAAATCTTCATTGGTTCCCCAATGCCAATAGGATAAAACCTTCTTTAACCTGGCTATTTGTTATCTGGTTCTCCCTTTTTTCCAATCTTATTTCATAATCTTCAAATTATCACCAAATGTGACTGCCACTAGCTATTTTCCAATGCTATTCTTCCCTCTTATGCCACCCCACCCCTCTGTTTCTAGAACATGCACTCTCCTCACCTCAAGTTTTTGAAATATTCCTTCAAGACCCAGATCATGTAGTGCTTCTTCCTTGAAGCTTTCTCTGATTTCTCCAGTTGAAAATTACATCTACCTATAATTTTCCTAAAGCATTTTGTCCCTAGAGATAGCATGATGTAGCGAAAAGAGGCCTAGCCTCATAGCCAGGAATACTTGTGTTCAAGCCCTGCCTCTTACATATACAGGCTGTGTGATCTGGGCAAATCCCTTCAATTTTCAGTTCTCCAAGATTATCAGTTTCAAAGAAAGTGCTAACCTACACTGGCAGGGGAAGTTTGCTCACAAGGAATTTTCTACACCAAAGAATTTATAGGTCTAAACCCTATTTCTGCTTTGTCCCTGTAAGATTCTACCTTGATGTATACTTGTCTGTGTATGTGTCACATCCCTCTGTACTTCTTTGGAAGTGGAGGAAGACATATGCTACTTTTTTGGTTTTCATTTCTTCCTCACCTAGCACAGTGTATTTCACTTAAAAATTTGTTAAATTAAATTGAAGGGGAGCAGTTACTCTGAATTTGTAGGCAATTATGAGACATTCCACAGGTGAAAATTCTTAAAATAGATAATTGTCACTAATTAATGAATATGGGTTGTTAATTAAGACCTGGAATAATAACCTGAAGTGTCTCTAAGGCATCAAATACTAATCTTCTCTATTATTTCTTTTATCAAATATTTATTGAACACCTACTAGATACTTTAAGACATTATAATTCTGGTAATTGGAGCATGGAAGAATAAGTCATGTAGGGATGGATCTGTGACTTCATCACTGTCGTACGGTGCCATTGCTGCTTATCGTAATCCCATAGAGACCCTACTCTGATTCCGTGTCATGGCACGGAGATGACCATGAATTCTTGAAGATTCTATCTTCAAAAGCTCCTTCTGTGAGCATCTGCCAACCATAGGCACTGGAGGAAAGAATACTTGTCTTGAAGTTAGATGAGATCTGGTTTGACTCTTGCCCATGATTCTATGCGACTCTTGGCAAGTCATTTGACTTCTCATTACCCCAGACAACTCTCAAAGTTACAAATGAGTTACAGATGAATTACACAGATACATCAGTGGAGGGAGTTTCCATACCAGGTGTTCTTTACACTGACATCACAGGTCTAGATTTTTAAAAATACTTTGTTGTTAGGGACCTCATAAAGTTGTTGTGATGGCCAAATGAAAAAATGTAGATAAAGCATTTCATAAACCTTAAAGGGGATAGATACTGACCCTGAGATTTCATAGGTATAAAGAACTCCCAGATGGGAAAATTTTCTCTATCAGTGTAGGTAGTCAACTTCTATGCAAATTACAGGTTTAGAGAATTGCCTAGAATATTGAGTGACTTGCTTAGAACCATACAACCACTATGTGTTACAGGTGGCACTTGAACCTAGATCTTCCTGACTCTGAGGGCTGCTCTCTACCTACTATACCACACTGCCTCTCAAGCCTTAAACACAGCTCTAAATATTAACTACTATTATTAGCACCCTAGGATACTTATATGAAGTTCATTCAGGCTTAAAACTACACTCAACCTTTTGAGATACCCTGTGTGGTTTCAGTGGCAGACTATCTTCTTGATAGCCAAAATTTACTCACCTTGTTGTTGTTCAGTTGTTTTTCAGTCCTGTCTGACTCTGTGTGACCTCATCTGCAGTTTTCTTGGCAAAGATACTGGAATGGTTTGCCATTTCCTTCTCCAGCTCACTTTACAGATGAAGAAACTTGAGGCAAACAAGGTGAAGTGACTTGCCCAGGGTCATGCAGATACTAAATGTCTTAGGCCAGCTTTGAACTGACTCCAGGCCCAGCATTCTATCCACTGCACTGCCTAACTGACCAGCCTAGTTGACCACTAGATTGCCAATTCTTTGGTCATAGCAATTTATGAAATAGTTGTCTGTAGGCTAAGAAAAATAGACTTTAAAATTATAGTCACAAGTTTCAGCACATAAAGTATCATTCTCCAAATAAAACAAGCAACACACACTCCCTTTCTAAAGAAGAATAATAGTTCTCTTTTTTTAAACCATAGTAACAGGATATTTTTCAGCAGGCAAGCACTTAGCAGAATATGAATGTATGCAGAACTTTGTGGGATTAAAAAGTGTCAGATTCCTTTGTTTCTCAAGGTCATCTAATTTTACATTTTCTAGCCCTTCTCCCCCTAACAGGACAAATACAAGGTAACAAAAATCTGAAAATTTGAGCACTATATACTTATGATGCTGGAAACAGACAAACACCAGATGATAGCTCCAGTATGAATACAGCCTTAGGAATTTGATATACATTAAAATACTCTGCATAGAATTACCAGAAGGAGACACTGCTTGAATAAAACATCAGGTTTGTTATGACAAAAAAACTGTATTCTATCAGTAGAGTCCTTTTTGACTAATTTTATTTTCATTGCTAAATGATGATTGACAATGCAGTTGTTTGGCATGCCTAAAAGCAGTTTTTAAAATAATGTTTGTTTAAAGATGCAGTGGAATGCACGCATATATACTTTAAGAGAGGAAGAGTAGAAGCAGATGAAGTGAGGTAGGATGAAAAGAAAGATGGGAAGACCTTGTTCTTATTCATCCTTGATTGTTGGGAAATGTATTCAAGGAAAGAGTGGGAGATATGCCACAGATAAATTCCATTCTGATGAGAAAGACTTCAGTGATACCGTGTAGAAGGCAAACTAAATACCTGACAGTTCTTTTTAATGACTCCTTTTAAATGATTAATGGTTCTATGTCTCCTCAACATTCTGGTTACCTTCTCTTGGATGAAGTACCAGTTATCAATGTTGTCAACATCCTTCCTACAAAACAAGTTATTGGACACAATATTCTGACCACATAAGCTCTGACCAATGTATAATATAATGGAACTATCACTTTCCTCATCCTAGATACTGCATAGATTCCATTAGCCTTTTTGGCTATTAACTTATTTTGAGCTTGGAGTCCATTAAAACTTTAGAATCTTCTTCATATGTGTCAGGACACATCTCTCCCATTTGGTTTTCTGAACTCAAATGTAGGATTTATTAGTTATCTTATTAAATTTCATCTCAATGGATCTGATCTGACAACGGACTTTTTCTGACATTCACAGTATTTATTACAGGTCACCTTGCTTTCAGGTCTCTTGTGAAGTACAATAATATCTTCAAAAAGTCATACATATAGTCCAAGTGGAGTCACTAAGACAAGAAAACCATATTTAAAATACCCTTTCACCTTTTGAATACTTGTCATATTAATAAATAACCAAGCTGACAAAATGATATTTTTCAAATGATGACTGTCTTCTTGGCTTTCTAGTTTGGCTGGCAAGGTGACCAATTATGACAGCAATATAAGTCATAAATTTTATCTGGAACTTTTCCAAGAGGCTCTGTGTTCTTTGTAGGAAATGATATTTGCTATAAAGAAAGGATTAAAGGTCCAGGAAATTCAGCTTTTATGGCCACAAGCCCCTAAGAAGAATATTATGTTCTTTTCTTGCTCAGCCCTTCTAGCCCTTGTTTCCTATTTCCTGTGATTCCATTCTATTTTCAGTCTCAGAGGTACCTCTCCAAAGGCTGGGCCCTGAGCACAGCCTCCTCTCTTCCCTTGCTCTCTTCTCCCACTTTAGTGCTTTCAGTTTTTCCATAGATATTTCTCAGGATCCCTCCAAAAAGAACTGCTATACTCAGTCTCTCACCTGGGGCCTGGTTGCCCTTCTGAACAAGTGAGAAATATACCTTGCTACTGTTTGGAGTATCAACTTGGGAAGTTAGCTTAGCTACACAGAGTGGTAATAAGTAGATGATCATCTCTACCCTCCTCATGCTAGTTTTTTTTTCTGAGATGCACATTAGATAGAGGGCTAAAGCACCTTAGAAACAGCTAGAATTTGAAAACTAGCCTTATTTTCCTTCAGCAGTCTTGGTACAGGTCTGAAAAAAAAACTGCAAGAAATTATTTAGTCCAGTCCCCGCTATATATCCTGATCAATAGTTTACATGCTCTTTATGCCTATTTTTCCAGGAGTAGCCTCAGTACTGTATCTGGGGACCTAGGAGTAATTGAAAAAAGATGGTCTTCAGGGTCATTACCCTTCAAATCCCCAGTCTTTTTCTTGATTTCTTGCTTCTCCTTCCCCATCCATCACTCATTTTAAGTGATTTTAAGCAAAAAATATTTTGTTGTTGTCATTCAGTTGTTTCAGTCATACATGTCCAACTCTTTGTGACTCCATTTGGGGTTTTCTTGGCAAAGATACTGGAGTGGTTTGCCATTTCCTTTTCCAGCTCATTTTATAGATGAGGAACTGAGGCAAACAGGGTTAAGTGATTTGCCCAGAGTCACGCAGCTAGTAAGTATTTGAGGCTGGATTTGAAGTCATGAAGATGAGTCTTCCCGATTCGAAGCCTAGTGTTCTATCAAAAGGAAAACCAAGAATATGACAAATGAATGTAAACCTCACATTGATTGTGATTATACTATGTAGCCATCTAGACATTTATGAGTAATGTGGAAGAAGCTATATATAATTTTATGTTCCCGAATAGAGAGGTATTGCCTGAAAGGAATGTTATAAACCAAGGAAGTAAGAGATAAAGCAGAAATTTGATGAGGATACAGTTAGAATTCAGTGGGGGGGGAAAGCTAGAAAAGAAAGGAATGGGGATCTATTATTGTTTTACCAAAATGAATGATATTTTCCAGCATATTAAAAAACAAAGTCTATGTGGAATCTACTCGAAATTCCTTAATTCTGTTATCTTATTTTATGAATAGAAATTCTACCACTTCAGAGCAGTCTTAAACAACTGCAGAAATCAAGACCCTCAGGTTTGGTTTACTCCTGTTCTTTTATCTATTCTCCACACAATCTACTTATTAATAAATAGTTAATTGTTCAATTGTGTGCATGAGTTATTTGGACAGCTGTTAATTCTCCTTGGTGTCAATAAATAGTTATAATTTATTTGGCTTTGCTCCAATTTATCCTGGTAGTATTCAAATTTTATTCAAGTTCCATTTATTTTTTTTCCCCATGGTTAGGTATACATAGCACAAAGTGTAGGAGAAAATTAGTTAATTGAGAACTAATGTGATACAGTCTAAGTCATGGACTTTGGATCTGCCTAGCTGATCATGTCAAACAGATAGCATTTTCCCTTCACTTTCTAATGTCTGGGTCAAGGGAGACTGTACATGATTTATCTTTGCTCATTATTATAGATCACAATGAAAAAATAGTCAGGGGAGACTCAAAACACAGAAGCATATTTGCTCACTGCTTTTCTCCTTAATGAGAATTGTGATTTAATTGTTCACAAAATGCTAGTGCCCCAAAATCTGAGGTGTAAAAAAGTTGTCATGTACATGAACACACTACTTTTCACTGGACACAGATCTCTTCTCCAGATATCAATCTTCTGTCATGGTGGTTCTAAAGACATAGTCGAAAGATGCCTGTGGGTCCCTGAGCCTCTGTTAGGGAATTGGTCAGGACAGACTTATTTTTCCAATAATACTAAAATTTTCTAATACAGTAAATTTGGATAGATATAACCCACTTTTTAAAAAAGGTTCTTTGGAAAGTCCTCATTAATTTTTAAGAGTGTAAAGATCAAGCTAGGTGGTGTGGTAGATAGAGTGTTAGCCCTGAAGTCAGGAAGACTCGTGTTCCAGGGTTCAAACCTGGCCTCAGACATTTACTAGCTATGTGACCCTGGGCAAGTCACTTAATCCTATCTGCCTCAGTTCCTCATCTGTAAAATGAGCTGGAGAAAGAAATGGAAAACCACTGTAGTATCTTTGCCAAGAAAACCCTAAATGTAGTCACAAAGAGTTGGATATGACTGAAATGCCTGAACAACAACAAAAGTATAGACCAAATAATCTCAGCCTGTACTTTTCTTTGTTAGAAAAGTATGAGACCATATTTTAAATGTTTCGCTGTCATCCTTCCATCAAACTGCATTTCCCACAGCAAATTGGTCATACTAATCATTATTACCCCAATGTTTCTCATCTATGCTATACCTTAAACCTTTCCCTCCCTTCTCCCTTTCCTCCCCACCCTGTTTCCAATTCCTACACTTTCCCCAAAGTGAAGAAGAAACAATAGGTTACAATAAAACCGGCACAATCTACCAGGGCCACCAAAAAATGTAGATTTGCCGCTGCACAGTCTCCTGTTTGTCATGTGACCCATGGCAACCAGTGTCAGTCTTTCTCTAGTCTAACCTATCTGCAGCTGAAGAAAGTTTAGTCTATTTCAATTCTGGCCCCTACCTACTGCCAAGTTGTGCAGGTCTGGGTCAGAAGGATGGTCTGGGGCTTTATAGGAGGACAACAGGGACATTCAGCAGAATTCTGTAATCCAGTATAAAGATTTACTAGTGCTATCAAATACTCACCCTTGCTTATGCTTTATAGATGGAGGCCTTTTTGTATATTCTATACTGCTCTTTATTTAAGTATTTTATGACAGTGTTTGCATGTAATGAATTGCTAAAATTTCCTGAATGTCAGTTATACCAGTGAAAGACCAAATGATCCACATTCCCACTGCAGTCCATCATAGCCTAGGGACCTCATCAGAAGTGGGCACAGAATATTCAGTGGAATTAATCGTTTTTGCATGACCAACAAATGTGGATCCAGAGAAGTGATTTAATTTCCAGGAAGGCTTGGGTTTTTTCTTTATGTAACTACAATAACCTCAATCTTAGAAGACCATGTTCCCAGTATTCCTATTCATTGAACTTTATTATTCTCTTTTTACAGGGAAGAGAACAAGACTGACTCTGATGTTTATTACAAGTTAATATAATTGTGGGGTGATATAAAGCAAAATAAAGATGGACTATCACTTAAGGATTCAGTTCAAATTAATTTCATTTTTTAATGAATGTATTTCTTATTCTGTATCTGTTTATAACATTGGAACTAAAGGAAGCAAAATAGACCTTTTAAAATTACATTATAGAGATAATAGCATTTTAGAGCTGTGGGGACTTTACAGATTATCTAGTCCAACTCCCTTCATTTTACAAGTGAGGAAACTGAGGCCCAGAGAGATACTAACTTGCCTGAGGTCACACAGGTGCTCTCTAGTGCGTTATAGAAGATATAGAAGAATTTTATGCAAGTTCAATGTAATTCTATAATCTAATGTAAAGATTTACTAGAGCTATCAAACGCTCACACTTGTTTATCCTTATAGATGGATGTCTTTTTGTAAGTCCTATATTCTCTCCTCAAAATAATTTATGACTGAGGTTGCATGTAAGGCATTGTCAAAATTTCCTGCATTTCAATTATGCTGGTGAAAAGGCAGGTGGTATGTGTTCATATTCTAATCTAGGGGTTCTTAACCTTTTCTATTTGTCATGAGCCCCATGTTGTGGTGAAGCCTGTGGACCCATTCTTCAAATAAAGTTTTGAAATGCATTAAGTAAAATGCAAAGGATTAAAAAGGAAACCAATTATATTGAAATACACTGGGATCCACAAACTTATGTTTTGAAAAGTTTTGTAAGTGTATTTCAATATAATCATAGCTAGCATTTACATAGATAGAGCTTGTTACATGCCAGGCACTTTACAAATATTATCTCATGTGATTCTCACAACCACCCTGGGAGCTAGGCACAATTATTATCCCCACTTCACAGCTGAGGAAACTGAAGCTGCGAAAGGGTCACTCAGCTAATGAGTAGATTTGAATTCAGGTCTTCCTGATTCCAGACCCATTGCTCTATCCACTGTGACACCTAAATGGTTGATTTCCTTTATGTTTTGTGCATCATAGTCTAGAGAACTCTCCAGGAGAATCAGAGTTGATATCTGAACTCAAGTCTCTTACCTCCCATTCCAGTGTTATTTCCACAACAGCCATGCTCTATTGAATCCTCTTATCCACACCAATGAATGTCTTAAGTTTGAAAGCCTATGTCTGGAATCATTAATTAAGAATAAGCGCATTGCTTGAAGAGACTCTGCCAGTTTTACTCAAGTGAAACTTATGCACCATGGGAAAGAAGTAGATAAACAAAATTATACCCTTCTGTGTTGTATCTCTTGGAAAACTTCTGAGTCACATGAGAGTGCAGCTCCCTGTTTTACCACAGGAGAAAACAAGAGGGAATAGAGTTAATGTAGAAAATATTTTGATTGGCCAAAAGAAATAACTTTTTGAGCTCAAAGGAACAAAATGACAAAAAAAAAGTAACAAGGAGAAGTTGAGTAATGCCCATCCCTGGAGATCTTCAAGAAGAAAACAGAAAGTTTGAATGACTTAAACATTCATTTGCCTGAAAGAGGGAGAACTAGATGAGGCCTAGGCCCATTCAAATTCTACAGTATCATTCTATGATTGCGATTCTCATTATTGCTTAGTAGTTCTTTGGTGCCATTGAGCAAAGCATTTAAAATTAATTAATTTCTTAGCAGTTAGGTATGTAGTGGATAGAATGCTGGGTCTGGAGCCACAAAGATTCATCTTCCTGAATTCAACTTCAGCCTCAGACACATACTAGCTATGTGACCCTGTGTGTCACTTAACCCTGTTTACCTCAGTTCCCCATCTGTAAAATGAGCTAGAGAAGGAAACAGCACATCATTCCAGTATTTTTGCCCAGAAAACCCCAAATGAGATCATGAAGAGCTGGACACAACTCACCAACAACAAATTTCTTACCATACCCATTTCTTTTTGTTGTTGTTGTTGGTGGTGAGCCAATTGGGGTTAAGTGACTTGCCCAGAGTCATACAGCTAGTGAGAGTTATGTGTCTGAGGCTGGATTTGAACTCAGGTCCTCCTGACTCCAGGGCCAGAGCTCTATTTACTGAGCCACCTAGCTGCCTTCCCCCACACTCATTTCTAATAGTTGTTCTACTGTGGCCACTTCATTAAACAAAAGAAAATGTAAATGCAGACTCCTTTGTCCTTATTTGAATTTAGCATTGTTAAAACAAGATTAATGGAAAGAAAAAAAAATCCTTTTCTGTTCTTCCTATATCATAGCTGTTGAACTGATAAGTTCTGGCTTAGCATTCCAAGTCACACTGCATAAATGATGGAATACCACATGATACAGGCTGAGAGAATATTGTCTTTTACAAAGTGGAGTTTGTACTTGACTTTCAAATGTGAACCAGTCAAAGGGCAGTCCATCTTTTCTCCTCCCCGCCGCCCAGGCACACACACACACAGACACACACACACACACACACACACACACACACACATCCTTGTTTGTCAACAATTCCAGTTAGTTTTTCTGTGTTCAGCTGTTGGAACCATATGAAACAAGTGCCTGAAAGATGTAATTACATCGTAAAAATAAAGAGTATGAGAGAGTCAGGATGCATAGTAGAGAAAGACAGTTTCAGATTGGCGAAGACCTGGATTCACGTTCTATCTCTGATAACATAAACAATATCTGCAACCCTGGGTAAGTGACTTAATCTCTTAATGGCTCCAGATAAGCCTATAAACCCAGGCTAACCACAATCGAAGACTCCATCCCAGGCTCAGGGAGGGTCACTGCCAGACCTGATACTTCCCCCTCCCCATGCTCCAGAGCCCAGCCCCAACCTTCCTGCCAATTTCCTCTTCTCCTTCCTCTTCTGACTTGTCAATGAATCCCCAACAAATCTCCAAATCCTTTCCCTTCTCTGACCCTCAGATCCACTCCTCACTTTCCTTTTTCAAATAATAGATTTTTATTGATACCTTTTGTTTATACATTGCTTATCTTTCTCTCTGCATACTTCTCTCCCTTCCAGAAACCTATTCCTTACAACAATTTTTTTAAAAGAAAAGAAAAAAACCATTAACATCAATCAACACACAAAATCTGAGAACTGAAGACAAGTAGAAAGTGAAATGGAAAGCTGTAATGGTGTTATGGTTACAAGCATTTGTCACATGCAGACTCAGGCTGCCATGTTTCCTAGATTGTTCTCTTCTGGTCATACTTTTAAAACTTAATCTCAGGTAGATGCTTGCATACTCTGGAGTAGTCAGTGGTATATTTTTCTTATACTTATTTTTTTCAGTTAATCATTGCATATCATTTCTGTAAAAATAAAGTTTTACTTAATAACGATTCAATTTTCAGTGCTCATTTGGTGTTCTGGAAGGATTGCTGGACTCAGAGTCAGGGGAGAGTTAAATATGAATTCTATCTCCAAATTTAGGTGTTGACTGACCACTGGAAAATCATTTAATCTTTCTAATTCTCTGTTTCCTCATTCGTAAAATGGGGTTAATCAATCTTGTACCCCCACCTTGCATAATGTTGTGAGGTAAGTGTTTTATAAAACTAAAAATGCTATATAAATGTGAAAGGTTATTGTTTAAAATTCACAAAACCATTATGATAAACTAGTTGTGAAATGAGTGTACAAAACCAAGTGATTTCAGCAGAAGAAACCTAGCTTAGCAGAACTTTTGGCGTCATGGAAATTTCATATAAAAATATCTTTATATGGTCAGTTCCTTCAGTAATTTCTTATTATGTTACTTCATAACCACAACCAAGTTTACAAAGGATAGGATAATACAATCCAGTGATGTAAACAACCACACAAAGATATAAGGAGATAGGTCTGGCATTTTATGGTGGTCCTATAAATTTGATTATTCTTTGCTTATATGTTCTTTTCCCTGTACCTAACCTAACATGAATGAGGACAGGGAAGACTTGCCTAAAGGTGTAACTTGAGATCATTGTGGGCTATAGTCTGGAACACTGACATGGTTCATGGCAGGACAGTTTATGAAGGTGATAAATCAGTTAGTGATGGGTCAGAATCAGGAAATCAATTGTTTGTAACAAAAGTCAGTTATAATGAGATACCTAGTAAATGAGGACAGAAGTAGGAGATTCCCAGATTCAGAAAGACAAGTTGGCAATGCTAAGCATCCAAAAGGCAAATAGGAAAGAAGGTCCAAGATCAAGGAAGACATCAAGAAGTTGGGCATTCAAATAGGCTTAAGCACATCCAACGTACTCTGCCATTTGACTCACTTTGTGAAATGACCAAGCTGGCCTCTATCAAGTTGAGCCCTACGGCCACAGTGATAACTCTGCTTCCTGTCTAAGTGAACTTCACCCAACTGTAGATAGCTCCCTTCTCCTGTTAAAATTTGCTGCATGACATAAGTTTTAACTTATGCAGTGCAGGTATAAGTTTTAACAACACATTACAATGCATGTATGAGTTTTAACAATGGTTTTTCCCCAAAGCCATCAACTTTGCTTTAGTATACATACATGCAAACATATATATATGTATATATATATGTACACACACACACACACATATATACATATTATATATATGTACGCACATATACATATCTCAAATATTTGTAGGATGTTAAGCTTTGGATGGGGCTTAATAGACAATTGTCTATTTAAATAGACAATAAAGTAGAAACTAAGCTTTCTTAAATTAGCACAGATTGTAAGTTCCATATAGATCATCTGTTGAACAAATACTACTCTTACTGAAGAATCTATTACTGTGCAAAGACTCACATATTGCTAAGAGTAAAAGCAACAATTATTTACTCAAATTTACCTTTCCAAATATTGGGGTTTTCTTTTTTTATTTAAAATAAAGCTTTATTCCAGAAGCCTTAGTGAAGATTTTCAGTATAAAATAGATATTTTTTCCTTAAAATTGTTTGGTAACTGTTTTCTATCTTACTTTGATTAAGGAGCAGTACTTGACTAGGTAGCAGATTTGTCCAAATAATTTTACTTTTATCCCAATTAACTAAAGGAAATGAAACAAGTTGCATTGTTGAGATTTAGTATGTGGCAATCTTGAGGCAACTATCATA